TCTCATTAGGGTTGACCCATGCATTGAAGTAATCATCATTAGGGTGTTTAAAATATAGTTCTAAATGTAGTCATCATGAATACTAATGTTAAGGACTGATCACCCTTACCTCTGATTTTAGGAATAATTTGGATAAGTGAGAACTTAGCAATTACCTAGATTCTAAATTTTTTATTGAAGGCTAGAGAACCCTTTCAAACCTATCATTAGTACTCGCTTGATGCAATATCGATCGATGAGATAACTGTCGCATCGACCGATATAGCATGACAACATCGATCGATATTTCTATCGAACTATCGATCGATATTTACTCAAGGTCATCGAACGATAGTTCTTGACCCGAGATCCAGTAAGAGTTAATACTTTAATTCCTTAAGAGTTTGAATCCATAACTATGAATAATAAAAACCCTTTATAACTTGCATGCTTGTCATACCTGAGAAAATACCTAAGTTTAACTACCTTCTTCCCTCTTAACAAACAAATCAATCAATCAAGCAATCGCTTGGTTACCTTTTAAGTTATTGTTTAAAACTTGCTATCTAGCTTTACTTCGAAAACTAAATAATCTGTTGTGTAATCCTAGAGTCTCTGTGGATTTGATCCCTAAGTACTACAAGTGGACCTCTTTTGATGAGAGTAACTCACTCCTAGGGTAATTTGAGTGATATCAATACTTTTTATGTTCTTTAATTTATAAAAGTATTCTCTTCATCTTATTCTCATTTTCATAAAGGTTATAGAATTCTAGATTTAGAAGAAACACACAAAGAGATTTGTTGTTCAAAGAACCAAGGGTTCAATCTTCTAATCTAATGAATTTCTATTATCACCTTGCTGCTATGAATCACTTAGCCATGTCTGAGTAGATTCACTTTTTAGATTTAGGGTTCAAATAGTTATGAGGGATTAGCCCCAACTATGGATTGTTGCGTCGTGATATTCATTATCCTGATGAACCCTAATGCTTTCTCTAGAGTAGCTAACTAGAGTATGATCATGGAATGATTTAACTTGTTAATCCTCATCCTGAAATCATCTGGTATAAGCTGAGATTCTAGGGACAATGCGAGAGGCGGTCTATGATCTTGGTGAACATATTCGATTCGATCTGAAGCTATATCGATCGATACTCCTATAGAGTAATCGATCGACGGCTACATATATCGGCCGATGTTGCGACAGCAATATCAATCGATATTGTCGGCAGTCAGATCAATGGACGAGTCTAATAGCGATAGCTATAGATTTATCTAAGAATTGAAATTCTTTAATATCTTGCAAGCAATTTATAAAGACATTTATAACATTATAATCCTGATTATCTGAATATTAACCTTGAATCTAACTACTTTATTTTATTGTTTAAAACCCCAAACCAAACTCTCTTGAGCAACTTACCATTGCTCACAACTGCTATTTACTTTTAAAACCTTGATCAACCTAGCATAATCACTTAGGATTATATCTTTTGTGTTACTTAGTTCCTTGTGGATTCGATCCCTAAGTACTACAATTGAACCTCTTATTTGAGAGAGTAATTCACTCCTTAGGGTAATTTGAGTGATATCATCTACCTAGGCAGATAACCTCCTTGCTAGTTATTGGAATAAGACATATGCTGGTAGTTGTTGTCCTGGAAGTTAGGTTCTTTCTTGTACCAAGTACCATTGTTGTTGATGAAGCACAACTCTTCATGTCCTTCTATACCATCAACCTCATTAACCACAACATTCCCTCCTTGGCGCTGCTCACAAACAAAGTTAACCTTCTCTTGTTTAGCTCCAGCTGAGATGAGCTGATCAATCTTGTCTTGTAAGGTTTTCAACTCTTTCTTAGTGTTCTGATCTTCACCTCCACTGCCTCTGTTTCTCCTAATATGATCATCATTGTGAACTGAATCACTCTTATCCATGTTCTCTACAAGCTCCAAAGCATCATCTTCAGTTCTGCCTAAGAAGGATCCATTGCTAGCAGTGTCAAGTTGACATCTATACTTAGGCAAAACTCCTCTATAGAAGGTACTAAGTAAACTCTCCATATTGAAGTCATGATGAGGACATTGAGAAATGTAGCTGTGGAACCTTTCCCATGCCTCTCCAAAGTTCTCAAGATTCTTTTAAGTGAATCCATAGGTCTCATTCCTTAGCTTGGCAGTTCTTGAGGTAGAGGAAAACTTTGTAAGGAAAGCTTTCTTACATTCATCCCAAGTGGTGATAGAGTCTCTTGAAAGGCTCTTCTCCCAAGTGTGGGCTTTGTCTCCCAAAGAAAATGGGAACAACCTCAACTTGAAAGCATCTTCAGAAACACCATTGATCTTTGTTGTCCCACATAGCTTATCAAAGCTATCAAGGTGGTCTAAGGGATCTTCCAAGGCAAGACCATGATACTTATTGCCCTGGATCATGTTGATAAGGTTTGACTTGATCTCATAGTTGGTGTTCTGAACAGCAGGAGCTCTAATACCCATCCTACTCCCATGGATGTGAGGCTCATCATAAGCACCAATACTCCTTAGCTGGCGCTGGTTGTGGTTTGGTCTCAGGTTGGCAGCTCCCTGACCAATGCCTTCTTGAGGAAGGACAGCCTCCTCTTGAGGTAAGTTTTTATTTCTCTCATCTCTAGCCCCAAATCTTTTAGTTGGGCTAGCCTCTCTTCTTCTCTTCTTCTTTTTATCAACTCTCTCTCAAGAGCTTGGATGTCTTAAGCTTCAGGTAAGAGGTTTGCATCTTCTTCTTCTTAGGTTGAATGTCACTAAAGCAAACATGGAGAACAAGTCAAATAGCAATCTTAACTTCTTTAGCAACTAATCTCTTAGGTAAAGAAAGTTAAAAGCATTCAAGAGTTGGTTCAGGCATTTCATCATACACCTTGTGGGCATGAAATGCCTAGAGATCTATTTTAGTATGATCAAGACTAAAATGGCATTGAGAACCCTCAACAAGCAAGGAAATAAGTAAATCTAACACTAAACATCCTAGATCTTCTCTAATCACCCTTAGTCATCCTAGCCCATGAATCCAAAAGGATTCTACTCACTAATCTTCATGATTAACCTTAAACCCATGGTTGATTTAAGAGAAATCATGTTGAGAAGCAAGTTTAATCAAACAATCACAAAAAAATAAGAAGAAAAGAAACTAAAGATTCAATCTTTCTTCAAGGTTTCAATGTGATCTTAGAGAGAAAAGAAGATAATCTCATCATTAGGGTCTAAAATGTATTTATAGGGTTCTTAAAAACCCTAATGGGCTCAGTCAACAAGCTGAAAACGCCCAACAAAACATAAAAATCGTCTATGGAACAGTGCTGGAACGGGTGTGATGGGTCGCTGCGCTACCCCGCTCTAGGACACACTCAATGTACAGCGGGTGTGATGGGTCACTCCAACACCCCCGCTCTAGCACTTAGAGCAGAATTTCTCGGGTGTGTTCTGTCCAGAGCGGGGTACCTTGGCAGGTGCGCCTAGTAGATTGATCATAACTCCTCCAATACATCTCCAAATGACTTGAAACCACTTTCATTAGAAAGCTAACACAGTTTCCCATGTACTCCCAAAAGATGAGGTTCAAAATATATCTTTAACATCTCCATCCATGTTCATCTTTCACCCTTTCGCATCACAAATATCTCTAAACACCTCCAAAAGCTCAATAGGACACTCCAACACCTGAGAAAGACTTATGAATGCAATATAGATCCTAAAGATGTCTAAAACCTAAATCTATATGATGATTTATGTACAAAATGAAATGCTAGAACTATGTAAATATGCATCATATCAAATACGTCTTTGAACAACACAACTACAGACCTAGTTTACTAATCACAACTACAAACTTAAGTTTTGTTTTCAAATTTACCTTGTGTTTTCAATCGATGCACTGTCTCTCCAGGTCAGCGATCCGCACCTTCATGTAATCAACCTGTTCTTGGAGGTTTTTAACTTGTTCCTGGCCAAGGAAACACATAAACGAAAATTTGTTAGTTACTTAATTAGTTGATAACTATACATAAACATAACTATAGCAAATATAAAGCAAGGACACTTCACTAACATCCAAGAAGATGATCTGATTATTGATAGTAGAGACCACATTGATCACCTGCTCAGCCTCCTCCACTCGCTTTGTCAACTTCTCGATCTCCTCCTGGACACCAAACACCCATGGTTATCGATAATGTAAGCCATCATCCTTGTGGTCAACATAAACAAAAAACAGAGAGCGTTAGTGGAAGTAAGAATATATGAACAAGCAAGGATAATTAAGAACAAGCAAGTACACTGACCTCGTAGTTTAGGCATGTGAAGAACCTCTTCCCAGGTACAGTGTCAAAGTCTTCCTTTCCCCCGACCTCGTTGATGATTCGACCACCGCATGAACACCTTCGCGGAATCCCATATTGAGAATCGGCCACAAAGCCTAACATGTTGATGTGGTGCTTTTGCTTCTTCTAATCTCTTCTTTGGTCTGTGGGATCCATCTGTAACACAAAAGACATCATTTTAGAACCACAACTCCCATCTAATCGTATTTAATGATGGGATTAGAATCATTAAATACGATTAGAAGTATTGTCTTCTTCCCATCAATTATTTGATCATCCTTTATATGTTAGTTAACATGAACCGTTTTGCATGTTCCTCGTGCTAAAAAATCGAAGTTGGAAATGAACAGCATAAAGTTTAAACCCCTATTTTCAACTATCACTGCTAAAACGAACCCATCACGAGAATGAATGAATGATCATAAGTAATATGACGTGAGCAAAAACAAAAACCTTGTAACAACTTACCAAAGTAAGATAGATATTTATTTAACACAAATGAAAAAGATCAATCATATTTCTTTTTACTGTCACAAGCTGTTTTTTTTTTAAGAACAGTAAGCGGGTCTAAATTAGACCGCAAGACTTCCTATAAATACCGATACAATGTGTCTGATCTCAATAGCTCAACTCACTCAAACATTAAAAAAGAAAAAAAAAACTCAATCATGTCATCATCATTCCCATTGGCCTCCTTTCTCATCACTCTCCTGTTGGCTGCATCTGTCTGCACCCACGGAGGAGAACCGGTAACCGACACCGACGGTGACGAAGTACAGATCAATGAAGCATACTTCATCCAACCGGTCACTACCGAGCTTAGCAGAGGTGGTCTTGTCCCACTTGCTGCTAGAGTTTCCGGTTGTTCACCTGGCATCACCGGATCGCTACCGGAAGAACTGGGAACGCCCGTTAGCATAGCATTTCCAAAGGGGTTCATCAGGGATAACACATTTGTCAATACAAGTTTGGATATAACCATCGAGTTCAAGTCCAACGTCTGCAAGGACCTCTCCAAGTTTTGGCAAGTCGATGACTTCGCAGAGAATCGCACTCAGCCTGATATTCTCGTCGGTGGTAGCCCGCGGGAAAGAAACAGCGTGTTTAAAATAGAGAAAGCCGGGGAAGTAGGAGGTATAAACATCTACAATTTCACCACTCCTGTCGGAACCAAAACCGTCGGAGTCCCTCCAGGGCCATATCGAACTCCACCACAACTAGTTCTCACTAGTGATAAGGATTCGACCCTACTCGTCAAATTCATCAAAGTTTATTATGCTACTACCCATGTTACTTCGGTTTCTTCTCGTGTTGAGAAGTTAGGTCTAAGGATGATCCCATTCTACTAGGTCCATGACGACCAAAAATAATTAAGGGGTTTTGATAAATACCCCCACCTACGTACTCATGCACGTAAACTTTTCCCTACTGTCGTCGGAATAAATAAAATAAAATAAAAGTGATGTTTCAACCATAAAACTCGATATCCAATATTCTCTAATTCTCATGGCATACATTACTGAAAATTTCATGTCTTTTCTGTTAAAAGTAACCTATCAACACTCGTGTATCGGCAGTTAACATACAAGTTATAGCAGATATTCTAAAGATCACACAATTCATTAGCAACACATATACTCATCTCCTAATTATCAGTGAAACGTTTCTTCTCACTCTTTCTGGCATATACAATTTCTAAGCATTGAATCTATCTAACACATCATTTCCGTCAAGGTTCCTATCGTTAAACTAGCATTCGTTAAACACACATATGTTTAGACAATACACAAGAAAATTTATATTTTGAAATTAAAAACATAAGTAGCTTTGATGTTATTTTTTTTCATCTCAGTCATCAATTTATGTTCACCTTATACATGGTATTGATGTATATTCTTTTATTTGTTTTTTTTTTTAATTTTCATCTGAAAATTCAAACACTATTTATGGAGTTCTTAAAGTAAAATCTTGTTAGTGGTGTTATGACAATTAATATATATTTTCTAAATTGTTTTAATTAATTTTTAAATTATACCATATATGATGAATTAATGTAAGTTTAATTTTAATACATTTTAGGATTTATGTTCTTTAGCATTATGATTTTCCTTTATAATCTTTGGTGTTCACTATTTTTATAAACATATATATTTTCATCATATATAGTTAACCGCACAATTGTGAACCTACAATAAATTTTACTTATTAAATCTTGAATTATGTTTACATATTTTCTATTATGTATCTACTTAATCGTAAACCTATCTCCACTTTCATTTTGTCTCTCAATTTTGAAGGTTTATACTTTGATGTGTATTTTACCATTTCTATGTTTATACTTTGATGTGTATGATGTTCATTTCTTCCCAATGATTTTTAATCTATTTTATATAATTATATTGATAGTGATTTTATATTCTTAAGGCACCACCTTTTTCGTTAAAATATTTACATGATTTCGTAAAAATATTCTAAATTCAATTTAATGTATACTAGATTTTAACCCGCGTTTTTCAAACGCGGAATATTTTTTTTGATGAAAACTTTATATAATCGTATTTTTTATATGTAAATTAGGTTAAAGTATACAATTTGTGATTCCAAAGTCTGAATTACAAATTAACAATTCGATATAATATTTCTTAAGCAACAATTTGATATAATATTTCATACAAATTAACATATCTCTTTTAATATTTATTTTTTAATTGTATAAATTTTATATAATCTGAATTGAACCAAAACTAACATTTCAATCTGTACTCGATCCGAAATGTAAGAAACTGAGTCTCTTAGGGTGGTACAAAACATATCAACACTCGAAATGTTATTAGGCAAACTTGAACGGATAATCCAAAAAAAAAACAAAAATCCGAAAAATTTAAAAACTGATCCGAATGTCCAAATCAAACATAAGTATAAATATTTGAAACATAAATATGTACTTAAAATATTCAGTTCTATATTTATTTTGTAATGGTATCTAGAATAAGTATTTAAATTTGAATTTAATATTTTAAATATCCAATTATATATAAATAAGTATTTACTTCTTATATTTTGCTTTCAAATTTGAGATTTAATTTTGGATACGTCTAGTGACAAATAGATTTATATAGTTACTTTATAGATTTTAAAATGTGATAAAAATTAGATACAGAACCGGTATATTATATTCTAACATGATCCGTACTTATAATGTAACTTTTTTTTCTTATATTTATCAAGTTTTAATTTATTATAATATTAAAGAAATTTTTATTATAATATAAATTAGTTATATGGCGTTCAACCCGTCTCATAGTTGATAAATATTTATTTTTTATTGAATAAACTGCAAAAATCTGTAACTATAAATCATAATATATTAATTCAATATACTATATAATGAAATAATATTAATGTCCACTAAATTTAATATTTTATTTTAAATGTAAATATACTAAATTATATGTTAATATGATTATTTATCGATTATGTTAAATATAAAAAATATTTATACTTGTAAATATTTTATTTTAATATTTCCATTAATAAACTGAAATATATTGTAAAGTGTATAAATATATGTTATCAGCATATGTAATTATTTTAATTTATAATTTATAAAATAATTGTAATTAAATTATGTTATGTTATATATATTCGTTGTTGTAATAATTTAATTAGATATGCATTATGTATATATAAACATCATAGAAATGGTATTTTTATTTTATAAATTAAAATGAATTAATAATTATTTGTATTAAAATTTAAAATAATTACGAAATTATATTATTAAATAAATATTAAAATAAATATTAAAACAATAAATATCTATATTTTAAATAAAAAGATACTAAAAGATTTTGTCAAAATGCAGTAGTAGAAAAGCTATTTGGTAAGATATTTTGATATCTTATTTTGAAAATATTTAAATAATATATTAAGATTATGTATATTTAATTATAACTAAGTTTATTATATACAAAATATTAAAAGTTACATAAATTAAATGGACCAACCTAGACTATTTATAGGTAGATAAAAAATGTGACTCTGTTTTAATATATTAGATGATGGAAGTTTTATTTTTAAAAATTTGTTAGATGAAATTTTATGTTTAGTATATTGATTTTAACTTGATTTTGACAAATAGTTTTTGAAAAAATACAATTTATTAAAAAAAATCTGTTAGATGAACTTTTATGTTTAGTTTCTAAATATTATCCTAAAGATCTTTTTCTAATAATTGTGTAGTTAATTACTTATTTTTCTGGTAAATTGAAAGGGATAAAATTTATCATGTACCAAATCAATAATCAAGCACTTGTTTTTTCTCAACTCAGAAAAAGTGAAAACATTGTCATCCTGCAATCATAATCATATAACTGCTCATTCTATTATTTTAGAATTAGAACTAACAATTTTGAGAACATATGCATAAGCATAAACATTCTTTTGCTTGTGAAAATAATCGAACATTGTATAAATCGTAGTAGTGGGGAGCAAAGAGGGATCAGCATTAAGCCAAGTTTCCCAACAGTGCCAGACGGTGGGTAAGATAAGGGACTCTCATTCATATGAGGTTCTGATAACATGACTCGTGAAATGATACATTTGCAGAAGAATTTTTAAAATATTCACATGGTATGTTGCTCCTCCTGCCGCCACAATAGACGGAGCTTCTGTTTACCAGAATTTTTGGAGGAATTTTCTTGGCTTGTAATGTCTTTCGGGTAGTTTTTTTAATGGCTCATACGCAATCAAGAAACCATGTTATCAGTTGTTTCTTCTCAGCTATGAAATTAGGCGGAAAGCTGACATGCAGAAAACATTTCCTACTTGCTGATGGGTTATAAGAATGAAGTGAGACAATATAATCCTCAATGACATTTATTGATAAAATGCAAGTTCAACCAAAACATAAAAGTAACTTTTTAGTGCCAATAGCGATTGAATCGACACAATTCTGTTTTCTTGAATAAGTTCCATTTCTAATTTTCTTTATTGCTCCATATACTTTTGCACTCTATGTACATGAAACACCTTAAGTTATTCAGTGGAGCACAACATGTACGCTCAAATCCCATTGTATGACAACCAAAGGCTTAAGAATAACAATGAAAAGAGGAAAACCTGTAAATGGAATACAACTGTATATCTACCAAAGTTAACAGTCAAATCTCTGCGACCTCTATTGGTGACATTCTTACTATGTATAAGCAATTTATGATGCAGACATATGAGGATACCTTATGAAATTCTTCTTCTTGATTATCTCCACCTGAACATAAGAAGCGCACAATCTCTGTCACAGAGATGATTTAGAGCACAGCTCTTTCAGAAATTTAATCATCGCTTTAGAGAAACTATGAATAACCAAAGATATAATGATTTTCAAGGCATAGTTGAAACAAACCAGAAACCAAATACACTAAGATTAAAATCAGATTCCAGGAAAACATAGTCATTAGGAAAATTTGTGAAGGACATTAAAGAAGCCGCTCGTAGTTTCCTATAGATTTTTTAAAAGAAATCAAGAGACATGAATTTCACCGTGGAGACGGCTTGGATAGGCAATGAACGGGAAGAAGTCGATCAATTGTAGACAAAGAACAATATACTTCATTTACAAAAAAAAAAAAAAAAAAAAAA